ATAGAAGTTTCTGCTGCCGCACCACCAGACTGCAGAGCAGCTTTTTCCCCCAAACTATCAGACTCTTAAACTCTAATTCATCCTCAGCATGCTCCACTGATGATAGTTTATTTCTGTTTATCATTTTTATAATTTATTCTATTTTAATGTATATTGTCTGCTATGTAGCAGACGGGAGTTCAATCTCACTCTAGAATCTGTTATACTGATATGGTGGCCCATTTTTTTACAGTAGCCTAGGCATATTCTCAAGTCAATGAAAAAAGAAATGAACAAAATCTTATCTGCACATATTCCATGTGTGACTACATCGATTTCATCTGCAACAAGAAAGGCAAATACTGCGAGGTCAGGCATTGTTGTAAGCTCACGCACTCTACAGGAAGTAGAACGTGTCCAGTGTTTTTATACCTCGTGCATGTAGTCGCCAGCAGCTCAAGTCCGCCGCTGTCATCTCAAACGCACCTACGGTCTGTCACCCTTACAATGAACTGCTCCAACCAGCAGGAGGCGCTGCAGCTTCAGAGCAGCTGAAACCAGCCAGCCTTCTGTCAGGATGAATTTCCTAATGATAGAAAAGAAAACAAACTCTCCTAGCCTGTCAGAATTCAGTATTCTCTCTTTTTGCTGTGCTAACAGTCAGAGTACTTATCTCTTAAAAACATTTTCTCCTGGTGGTGTGAACCTCCATCTGCTCACGCTGCGAGTACTTTTCACAAAGGGACTCTTGTTCCTGAATCACAGCAGCAGTGTGAACAGCTCAAACCGCTTCAGCATGGTGTTGTGAGGATGTTGTGATCCCGTCACTCTGGCGACCACAGCTCAGCAGCTGCTGTCACTGACAGTCTAATGTTGCGCCTGTCAAGGCCTCGTGACTGTCATCCATCAAGTGTAAGTGACAAACGTGTCTTTAAATAAGACGGACCTTCCACCTGAGCAAACGTGTCACATGTGGCTGCATGGAGACTCGCTTAAATCACAGCTATACTGTATCAATAACTTAGAGCTTCTCTATGAATTACTCATTACACAGAGGAAGTGGCTGTGCTGGCTCTCAGTGCAGATTCTCAGCTGTACACCAGATGGAGACAGATTTTTGTTCTGTGAAATCTTAGTTGCAAATCAAGTTTGTGCATCAAACAGTATGTCACACAAAGACAATCTTTAATGTTTTAATTGTCTGTATATATTATATTATAGATAGATAGGAAGTTGCAACAGGCATTTTACACTATTATCTGATGTTATATATACTAAAGGACTAATTAAAAAAAAAATCAAAAGATGAATCTATTGTGACAATAATTGCTAGTTGGCCTCCAGAATCAAATTCAAGTCCCTGATGCTGCATACAGAGCTGCTCCTGGGTCTGCACCATCTACCTACACTCCATAATCCAAGCCTACGTTCCTTCTGGGCCTCTACGCTCCTCCAACAAACGCCGCCTGGCTCTGCCATCCCTTCACACAACTCAACCTCAGTCCCTGTTCTCTTCTGTGACACCTCGATGGTGGAACGAGCTTGGAACGAGAGGACTTATATCAGTATAAGTTTATTGAATAGGGTAAACCCCTTGAGATGAACCAAAATAATGTGATGTCTGTCTCCACCGTCCTGTGTTTCACTTTAACGCCCTCCCTCCATCTTTACCTCCATGCTGCCTTTTTGTCTTTCATGAAGTGGAAAAAGGAGTGGGCTGGGTGCAGGTCAGGTGGAGGTGGTGGGGGGGCCACTGTAACTGGCTGCAGGGCACTTGAGGCTTCAGGACAGATTCCCTCAACAGTGAGAAAGACGCTAACAATAGCTGTCAGAGTGTAACTCTTCCCCGTCAACAGCAGCAGTGTCATCCAAGGGGAAACCTGTTTACCTCCTCCTGCACCGGCTGCATATGTTCAGAGAGGACATGCAGGACAGGAGGAGGGGGAGGGGGGTGGTGACTTCACAGGAAGAGACTCTGACCAAAAACCCTCCTGGGGCGACACAGTCAGTTAGCATGAAGCCTGTTTGAGCTGTCGTGTCTCCTGCTCTCAGTCTGACATGAGCTGCTGCGTTATGTAACATGGAGGATGTGTGGTGGATGAGCGGCCTGGGGTTCACACAACACGCTCTAAACCTGATTTATCTTCCTCCACGCCACCGTCACACTCTGCTGGTAGCGACGGGGAGAAACTCACAAACAAACAAGCAAACAAACAAAACAGCTGACCAGCAGGAAACGTCTGTGATGTTCTTATCCTGCAGACGGAGGTCGAGGTGGATGGTCCAGATCAGGACACCAGAGACCGCTGTGTTACTGTTAGTTTTAGATTACTAAACACTTTGGTTAAAGTTAAATATTGATGATGGTTGGTGTCACTCAAACTAAATGATGGTGTATAAATCCAAAGGGCTTCAGCTTTGAGTGCAATGAAAATGTTTCTAATGTTTTCTCATTTTAAAGAAAGGGAAGTTCTGAATTCAAAGAGGATTCGTCTCTTTCATCCAGCTGCAGCCAAGAGAATATATCTGACCCACAAGAGTGAACTGAATATATCTGAACCACCAGCTGGAGTGTCCTCCAACAGCTGCAGAGAGCAGACTTCCTGCAGCAGATGCTGCCACCTGCAGGCTCACAGGAGCACTGCTGCTGTGTGACACTCATTTAAATATACACTCATCTAAAGGATTATTAGAATTTCTCATTAATGCAATCATCTAATCAACCAATCACATGGCAGTTGCTTCAATGCATTTAGGGGTGTGGTCCTGGTCAAGACAATCTCCTGAACTCCAAACTGAATGTCAGAATGGGAAAGAAAGGTGATTTAAGCAATTTTGAGCGTGGCATGGTTGTTGGTGCCAGACGGGCCGGTCTGAGTATTTCACAATCTGCTCAGTTACTGGGATTTTCACGCACAACCATTTCTAGGGTTTACAAAGAATGGTGTGAAAAGGGAAAAACATCCAGTATGCTGCAGTCCTGTGGGCGAAAATGCCTCGTTGATGCTAGAGGTCAGAGGAGAATGGGCCGACCGATTCAAGCTGATAGAAGAGCAACTTTGACTGAAATAAGCACTCGTTACAACCGAGGTATGCGGCAAAGCATTTGTGAAGCCACAACACGCACAACCTTGAGGCGGATGGGCTACAACAGCAGAAGACCCCACCGGGTACCACTCATCTCCACTACAAATAGGAAGAAGAGGCCACAATTTGCAAGAGCTCACCAAAATTGGACAGTTGAAGACTGGAAAAATGTTGCCTGGTCTGATGAGTCTCGATTTCTGTTGAGACATTCAGATGGTAGAGTCAGAATTTGGCGTAAACAGAATGAGAACATGGATCCATCATGCCTTGTTACCACTGTGCAGGCTGGTGGTGGTGGTGTAATGGTGTGGGGGATGTTTTCTTGGCACACTTTAGGCCCCTTAGTGCCAATTGGGCATGGTTTAAATGCCACGGCCTACCTGAGCATTGTTTCTGACCATGTCCATCCCTTTATGGCCACCATGTACCCATCCTCTGATGGCTACTTCCAGCAGGATAATGCACCATGTCACAAAGCTCCAATCATTTCAAATTGGTTTCTTGAACATGACAATGAGTTCACTGTACTAAAATGGCCCCCACAGTCACCAGATCTCAACCCAATAGAGCATCTTTGGGATGTGGTGGAACGGGAGCTTCGTGCCCTGGATGTGCATCCCACAAATCTCCATCAACTGCAAGATGCTATCCATCAATATGGGCCAACATTTCTAAAGAATGCTTTCAGCACCTTGTTGAATCAATGCCACGTAGAATTAAGGCAGTTCTGAAGGCGAAAGGGGGTCAAACACAGTATTAGGATGGTGTTCCTAATAATCCTTTAGGTGAGTGTATGTCAGCAGCATTTATACATTCTGATCCTTCTCAGTGAAGCCAAACATCAAATCTATTTTCTTTAAAGTATTAGCTTAGCATAACAAAAAAACACTGTATCAGAACGTGGATTCATAGTAGTTGTTAGTGTTCAGTCAGCGTGAGTGTTTTTAAAGATCTCTTCCTGTGTTGGGTTGGAAACAATACATTTTACATGTACTTGTTGAGACAACAGTTGTAGGTATCATTATTCTGCACAGCTGGATTACAAACCAGGCACAGCAGGAAACTCCATTAAGGAGATGAAGACTTTCAGGGGCCCCAAAGGCACACAGGGTCATTGTGTGGAAATGAATACTTAGTGGTAATTTGATAGAAACTGAAATGGTAAAGGCTCCAAGGTGACTCCTGCCTTGTTCCATAGCAGAGCCCTGTGTCACAATGTTGTTTTAATATTACCTAACATGGTGCATATTCTTAACTAATTTTTACCCACAGTAAGTTAATGAACAGAGAGGTAGGCTGGCTTGATTGGGCCCCCAGCAGTTTATTGTGGCCCCATCATTATGAACAAAATGCACCGATTCTACAGAGGCTCTCAGAGTCATTAGATTCAGGCAGTTTCATTAAGATTTCATCATTGAGTCTTAAAATCTGCTGATGTCTGATATTTTATGTATTTAATGACACTAAATAACAGTAATATAAGTCGTCTATCTTGAACAGCGATTTTAAGTTTATCATTATACTTATTATACTTATAGAATAATGTCCACTGTCTAAGGTACGTCAAACGAGCTTCACTGCACATGAGCGGCTCAGCAGCAAACAGCAGACAGACAGTTCTGCTGCCCCCTAGGGGACAACAATCAAAGAATGCAGCTTTAAATCAACATGTTTGTTTTGATCAATGTGGAAAATCATTAACTGTTTCTTCTAGCATTCTTTAACGCAGCTTCATTTGTCAACTGAAAATGACGTCAAATAAAAAATGTCTCTTGCTACTGACTGGTTAGAACAAAATAATCCTCCACCTCAGACAGACATGGAGACGTAATCAGATCGATTATCAGGCTCTAAAAAACTGCACACAGACACATAACAACAAAATGAATATGCTGATTTATTGTATTGAACATTAATGTGCAGGTTGAACTCACCTCTCTGTATGATGAGCCCTCTGCTGCTATGAATCTGATGGTCGTCTGAGTTGAAGAGTCGTCCGTCCTTCTGTCCGTCTGTGTGTTGATGATCCAGCAGTTAAACTCCATTCGGCCTCCGTCCATCAATCCATCAGCTAATAATCCAACCCACAGGACGATGAACATGTGACCTTCACTGTTAAAAAACGTCGTCTGGGACCATTTTTATTCCCTCAGTTTGTTAACAATTCTCCTTTTTTTCCCATCAGGTTTGGTTAGGCGATTCGTCTCTGGAGTCCAGATGAGTTTGGTGCTATAATGACGGAGCTAATTATGGAAACCTCAAACCCAACAGGGGACCTGTTTTGTTTTTTTTATACTGCGCAATAGAGTATAGAGTTCTTAATCTAACAAGGACTGTTTGCACAATATCGGGGCAAGTGCTAAAATATTGATCTATTCAGACAAATCAGTTGAGATTCTTATAGATAAAACATCAGAGCTCAAAACATCAGCACACCAATACCACCTGATATCAGAGGTATCAGTCCTGGTATCAGCGTTACTATGGAAGCAAATAAATGCCAACATTTTAATTGTAGTCTAACTGAATATCAACTAATGTTGACATTCAAATACCACTGAATTTATGGCATTGAAAACTTTTACTTTGAAAATGCATCTAATGAGTTTAAATAATTTGAATTATCTTTAAGTTTTGCTGTTTCAAAAACGGAAATCAAAACGGAAATTTGAACATCTGCAATGTGCACTTCATCTACAGAAGTTCACACGGAATTGAAGATGTTCAAATTTCCATTTTTCTAAACACATTTTAGTTCTAGATAGCAATAGCAATCTCGTCTTTCAGTCATATAACATGATCTACATCAGCATATTGAAATTGACTACTCAGTAGCCAAGATTTGAATGTTTGAATTTTTTGTGTTCAATAAACTTCAATAAAGTTTTTTTGAGTATTGGAACTGAATTTCCTGAATTGGGAATTATCGTTATAAACAACGGAATGAATAATTAATTGTGAAATGTAATCACAATTTAAAACATTCCAATTTTGGCATTGTTTTGCGTCCATACTTGGCTGAAATGTAAATCAAAAAGTAACCGATAATAAATCTGTCTTATTGGCCAAATGTGTAGGTATTTTTCTACATCCTAAGATTTTCATTTAAAGGTAATTTTGCTTATTCCAGTGAGCTTTGCTGTTCAAACTTTATTGTTTCTCTCGTGTTTTATGTTAATGTTAAATATCCTGGCTCAACACTTAAATGCAAAACAAATATTTGTTTATATAAAAACTTAATATAAGCTGAGATATTTAGTTTTCCTCAGATATCAGTGTCTGTATAGTCCAAATCTGCCAGAAAAATCTTTATCTTTTGAGCTCTAAAACATCCAAAACATTATCTTTTTCTTTTAAAATCTCACTTTGGGCTCTGGGAACTTGTGATTGACTTGTTTATTTTTGAATTATTTAAGCCAATAATAACTGATAATTAGAATAATGGTTGGTTGCAGCCCAGTTCGGTGGATCACATTTTCTGTAAGGTGCAAGGTCAACAGGTCAAACACCTGTAATGTGTTATATTCGATCATTTTTACTGTTGAAGGCTGAAGTCACTCGATAGATTCAGCTGGTGAAATCAAACAACATGGAGGCTTCCACAACATGGTGGTTTTCTGGCCTGGCTGAGCCACGTCTCTACAGCTTCAGCTTCCTTTCATTCCTGTGGCAGACAATACAGAAATGTCTGGAAGGTTGCTATAGAAACTGCATCCACTTAGGAGATGCAGGGCCCCTTTTCATCCACACAGTGGAGCTCTTGGTTTGGAAAAGCTGCACCTGATTTCATCATCATTTTACAAATAGGCTCGAGTGGAGGATTTAACCTTTATTTAATTTAAGCCTGCAAAATTTGAATCTGCATGTCAACAGCAGGGTGAACGTGTCTTACACCGGTTATAGAATAGTGGTTAAAATAAATTCTGGCATTAAAGTCGTTTAATTTTAGAATAATTGATTCCTTCAGCCTGCTGCACATCATCTGATCCACCACTGGGCTCCATCCAGCCTGAATGGAAAATACACAAGGGTGAAATAACAGGTGTATGTGTGCATGTGTGTGCGTGCTTGTGTGTGTGTGTTGGCGGGATCATAATAAAAACAGCCACCAGCTCCTGCTTCCTCCTTCTTCAGTCTGTAAATTTAGATTTCATTGGTCCTGTGTTGTGTCTCTGCTTCAGATAAACAGAAAAGCAAATGTAAACTTTAAACCTGCATTATTACGATAATAAATTACTCATATACTAAGAGAAACATTAATAATAATAATAATAAAGTGCTACAACTGGCTAAAGGCTGATCATTTCAAAGCGTTTCCCCCGGCTCATGACGCGCATAATGGAAGACTGTTTGGTTTCGGGGAAGGGGGAGAGAGTTCCCTTATAATCCATCCACTGTGGTGATTTAAATGAATCCCTTTGATGGCATAAATGAGGAGCTCGCCAGTCTAAACTCAAACCAGAGCGCAGGATGTTTGGGATGGCACTGAAAGGTTCCCTCAGCGCGCCACTGGTGCGTAATTGTGGGTCAAAATCAAACATCGGTGAGCTTCCCGGTGTAGGCTTTGTGCGGGCTGCAGTTGGTGTATTTGATGGAGTCCGCGTCCTCGCTGTCCAGGAAGTCGGACTTGGACAGAGACGGCTTGCTGTCGCTCTTCTTGAACTCCCCAAACTGCGGCTGCTGCTGGCCACAGGTCACATGCGTGTACTGGAACTGCTCCTCGTGCTCCGTCTCCCGGTGGTAGAAGTAGTTGAAGTTGGAGACGATGACGGGCACCGGGAGCGCGATGGTCAACACTCCGGCGATTGCGCACAGGGAGCCGACGATTTTACCCCCGATGGTAACAGGACACATGTCCCCGTAGCCCACCGTTGTCATAGACACCACCGCCCACCAGAACGCGTCCGGGATACTGCTGAAGCCCGACTCTGGGTCGTCGGTCTCCGCGAAATACACCGCGCTGGAGAAGAGGATGACCCCTATGAAGAGGAAGAATATAAGCAGTCCCAGCTCCCTCATGCTGGCCTGCAGGGTCTTCCCGAGGATCTGGAGTCCCTTGGAGTGTCTGGAGAGCTTGAAGATCCGGAAAACCCGGACCAGGCGGATGACCCTGAGGATGGCCAGCGACATGGCCTGCTGTCCGTTCCCCTGGTGCTCTGCTAACTCCAGCCCCAGCGTGATGAAGTAGGGCATGATGGCCACGATGTCGATGGTGTTCATGATGTTCTTAAAGAACGCGGGTTTGCTCGGACAGGCGAGGAACCTGACCAGCAGCTCGAAGGAGAACCAGATGATGCAGAGCGTCTCCACGATGAAAAACGGGTCTGTGAACGGGTTTGGCTTCTTTGCGCGCGCGGTGCCGTTCACCGCCAGCTTCTCGTCAAACGTTCTGGCTTCCTCCCTGAACTCGGGTAAAGTCTCCAAGCAGAAAATCACAATAGAGATGAGGATCACCAGCACGGAAACTATCGCGATCCCCCTGGCGGGTCCGGAGCTCTCCGGGTACTCGAACAGGAGCCAAACCTGCCGCTGGAACTCGCTGTCGGGCAGCGGGCGCTCTTCCTCTTTAATAAACCCCTCATCCTCCTTAAAATTCTCAATCACCTCCTCTCCCAGTTCGTAAAATTTAATCTCCTCCATGAAAATGTCCACTGGCACGTTGACGGGTCGCCGGAGTCTGCCCCCGGACTGGTAGTAGTAGAGGATGGCATCGAAGCTGGGTCTGTTCCTGTCGAAGAAATACTCGTTCCTCAGCGGGTCGAAGAAGCGCATCCTCTTGCGCGGGTCCCCCAGCAGGGTGGAGGGGAACTGGGCGAGTGTCTTCAGCTGCGTCTCGAAGCGCAGCCCGGAGATGTTGATGACCACCCGCTCGCAGCACTCCTGGTTCTCGACTCTCTCCGGGTCGTACACATCCTGGGCTGACAGCGCGGCCAGTGCCACAGTCTCATCCAGGTTCTCTCCGGGCACCACTGTCATTTTTCCCCCCCAGACAAGGGCGACGCTTCCCGCACCTCAGTCCTCTCTGTTCCCCCTCCGACACACCCGCGCGTATTTGGAAACCAGCTGAGCGTCTCCGCTTCTTTTCCTCTTCTGTCGGTGTGTCGGCGTCACGGCTGCGGGTGAGCAGGTTCTGCTGGCATTTTGTGCCCCCCCACCACGCTCACCTTTCCCGTCCACGCACTGCTGTAGTCTGGACTATCGGCTCGGCTGTCACATTCACTGCATCTTAAGCAGGCTTTGCCCTCCCCGAGCTGACGTGTGTGCGCACGCTCTCTCACTGAGGGGGAAATGAAAACACACATGCACGCACATATGCTCATAATGAATCTGATCCAGCTATTTAGGAGCAAACATGCACAAAATAATATCGATTTTCTGAGAGAAAAAATCAGGAAATTGGAGATATTGCGTGCACAGAAAGTGTTGTGCGTAATGAACCTGTTGTCTCCATTGTGGCACAGGCTCAAGGTTATCACCTGAGTGGTTGTTTATGGTGAAATATGATGCGATATTTGCAAATATGAGCATGCAGTTATAAATGAAGACAGGTTAATATTTGGAAACGTGAAAAGCGCGAGAAATTTCAGGCAAAAACATGCGATTTTCATGCAAATAAAATCGTCGTTTTTCATTCATAATTTGATCCTAAAGGAATACCTGTGGGTCAGGGGTTTGTCTTCCTCCATCTACCCATCCTTCTATCCACAAATGACACATTTATAAAGGGGAAATAGACAAAAAGAAGCTCTGCAATGTCACGCTGCAGCCGTTTCAAGACGAAACCTTGCTGACGTTTCCACAACAGCTCTGAATGCCGCTGAGCTGCTCCACAAGTTGAGCACGACTTGCAAGATCTGTCATGCCTCTGCAGGCATGTTGCATTGTGCATGAAAAACAAGAATGATAAAGAGAGCTTTATTATTTTCCCTGCTTTGCTATGAAATGTGAAGAGGCTGAGTTTGAAAGCAACAGCCTGTGTCTCTGAATGGAAGGTAAACACTGCTGCGCTGTGCAACAAGTAAAGAGCAAAAAAGAAAAGCTGATGATGGAAAAGAAGGAGAGTTTCTGGGCTGCAGCTCAAAGCAGTGACGTCTTTTCCTAAAATAGCTGGATTTCTCCCAGGGCTGCAGGAAAAGTTTCTTTTCCCATGGAATGGCTCGAGGGAGCTGCAGGGGAAAAAATGAAAAGATGACATGAAAAGAAAAATACGGATTTGTGTCTTCCAGCCAACAGAGATACAGTGAGAGTCATTCAGAAAGTGCAACTACAGGTGTTTAACAGAATACCAGGAAGTCTAAGTTTCACTTGAATGAAAACTTTAACTTAAATATGAACCGCAATAACACATTTACAGTGGAGACACATGCTGATAACTTTCAGTGGGAAATTTCAAGATAACTACCTGCCAATAATACAACAAACTGCCCCTCAGGTACAATAAAGATATACTTGATCTTTCACTAAAAAACTGTTGGTGGTACTTTTGGAAATGGAAACATGACATTGTTGTTAAATTGAAGTTACATTCAGTTTTTCATAAAATAAATATAATTCCACTTTTCTGTGTCACTATATTCAGCTTTAACACTACTTTCAAGAAACTCAAAAAGAAAAACATAAGGTTTCCCAGAATGCACTGGAAGCTGAGGTTGGCCCAAGGCTGAAAAAGGCTGCAGGTGAGGATATGCACAAATTTTCATCATTCTTTAAATAAAGACATGTGCAAAAATCATAAGTGCGATTTTAGGATTTTATTAAACTGTACAATGAAGAATGAATTTTAAAGAGCAGAACGCCACAGAGTGTAGATGCATTAAAGACATTTCACATTTTGAAAAGAGAAGTTGCAGGAGGTTTACTGATCTTCACTCTTCTCTGCACAATAGAAACAAGAGAACATGTGAACACGAGTCAATATGTCTGGCTGCATGTCCAACACTGGTGTATTTAGACTAGTTAAACCTGGATCAACATTTAGAGCCCGGAGTCTGTTTCTAAAGAGATTTATTAACCTTCATGCTACATGTGAGCAGAGAAAAAATTTACATTCACTCATTTGGCAGACAAAAATGGTTAATTCAGTCTCACTGCATGTAGATAGTTGTTGGTGCCGATGGATCGTTAGACCTGTTGTAGTTACAGAGGCAGTGAACGGAGAGGGTCTTTACATTTTACAGTGCAGCATTTCTAGACTGCTTTAAAAACATCTTCTCCCCATGAGTTAAGCTCATCATAATTCAGTCCCTGATAGTCTGACTCACGCTGAAATCCTGACTTCAGATGACCTCTGCAGTCTGGCACTACCTCATTTCCTGTCCCCTGTGAGATCATTGCCTGAAACACACTCACCGACACACACACCGGTTGCTAGTTTCATACTTGTAGCTGTGAGCTTTTTTAAATGCCACAGCGGTTCTCTGGTGGACTCTCTGTCAGCTCGGTGTCCCTGTTTTTGTCCAGGTTTTTGTTTTCTGTCAGACTGCAGGACGTCTGCTCGGCCTGGAGCACGGAAACACTCCATAACATCTGTGATGAGGTCACCTCATGCAGTCCTCTGTCACAGTTAAACCTTCAATGTCGCGTTAACCTGACAAACGTCTGGCTTCAAAACACCGTCAGTTAAAGGGCAGGTTTGGAGACATCGATCCGTTTCTCTGAAACTCTCTGCAGGTAGAAAGGACCTTATGTCTGATCTCTCAGAGGCTGGAGGCGAATACTTGGTTTTTCAACGATATGTGTTTTGATACACCCAGCTGCCTTTTGTGTTTTTCTTTAACATATCAGACAAAGTTCAAATTTGCATATGCAAAATGTTCTGGTCATTTCATTTAGTTATTCCTTAAATATCCATAAAGCAGAGTTGATGATTAACGAATAGAACCACAGGTCAGAGGCTTGAATCAGCAGCTTGTAGTTTTAGTCTTCTGAGGAAACTATTTTTGTCAGACTTACAAAGATGCACATCCTTTTATAGTTGTTATTTTATTTGTTACTGTAAAGCACTTTGTGACCCATCTTGTCTGTGAAAGGTGTTTTATGAATAAACCTTACTTACCCTATTGAAACTGCAAAACTGGCACCATACGTACACATTCATAGCTGACACTTTTATCCAAAGCGACTTACAATTGCTGCACATGTCAGAGGTCACACGCCTCTGGAGCAACGAGGGGTTAAGTGTCTTGCTCATTGGTGGATGTGTCACAGTGGGGGGTTGAATCCTCTCTCACACCAAAGGCATGTGTCTTTTCCACTGTGCCATTATCACCCACCAGCAGGATTTCTACTCTCTCAAACATCCCTTAAGTTTTAAATGGAAGTAGACTAGAGCCTTGCTGAAAACTCAGATACACCATATTGCCAAAAGTTTTAGGACACCCCTCTGAATCATTGAATTAAGGTGTTCAATTACGTCCATGGCCACAGGTGTATGAAATCAAGTGCCTAGGCATGCAGACGGCTTCTGCAGACATTTGTGAAAGAATGGGTCGCTCTCAGGAGCTCAGTGAATTCAAGCGTTTCCATGGCAGAGCAGCTGCATCCAAGCCTTACATTACCATGTGCAATGCAAAGCGTCGGATGCGCTGGTGTAAAGCACGAATTAGACAACATCTGTGCCTGACCTCACAAATGCGCTTCTAGAAGAACGGTCAAAAATTCCCATGAACACACTCCTAAACCTTGTGGACAGCCTTCCCAGAAAAGTTGAAGCTGTTATAGCTGCAAAGGGTGGACCAACTCCATCTTAAACCCTACGGATTAAGAATGGGATGTCATTAACCTTCATGTGCATGTAAAGGCAGGTGACCCAATACTTAGGCAATATAGTGTATATTGGTATCTGTGTCAGCAAGAAGATATCTTTAATGTAAAAATTACATGGCCTCCATTACAGTTTGTCCACCAAAGAGCCCTGACGAGTTTATTTTTACAGTGTAAAATGTCCCGCTCTCAACACATCTTGGTTCTATAAAAACAACCAGACAACAAAATGTATTATTTCTACCGGCCCTGCAGAACAATTGTGTTTTTTGTGTTTCTTATTTTAGCAGAGCAACATTATAAGTCAGAGCCTCCTGAAGATAAACGAAGTGGACTTGTTGACCCCTTCATCCACCCTGACCTACGTCGCCGACCTACGTCACCTGACTTCTTCTGCCACTAGAGTTCGCAGCCTAACCAAAAACCTTAATATTAGTCGTAATAAGCTGCTGTATCATCGACCACACACTACGTCCATAGAGGGCGCTGTGACTTGAACGTAAATGTGTAGTTTTGGGGCATTTTCTGAAACAGCTTACATGTTATTATACTCCTTAACTAAATTTAAGCAATCCGTATCAAACGTGTTTGTTTAAAAGACAGAGAGAGTATTATCCAACATATTTTTACTGGAATGTTTTTTACTCTCAAAGATCAATTCCAATATTGACCTAAAAAAACCTTTATGGGTCTTTTCTATAGAAAATGTTTTTGCCCTCTGATACTACAGGTTTATATTCTGACTATCTCTATTCATTTTTTCAACTTTGTTGGATGGCTCTAAATACTGCAACACCCATGATCCTCTGCTGCTGTTGCTATGGAGGAAAAGCAGAGAGGTAGAGAAGTCAGAGCGCCTTGTAGTTGTCAACACTGTGTTCATCAAAACTGATCCAGAGTCAGACAAGTAAGAACTGCTGACTGATTTATCAGGTCTCAACCATCAGCGTAATCTTTAGCTTCGAGCAGCAGGTGTGACAGAATCTGAAACCCTGTGATTGGATGTAACAGAGTTGTTCATCTGTGAGAACATGAACTGTTTCTGCACAACACCACACATGACCTGCTGCTCTGGTTGTTTTTGTACATGACTGTTTGTTGGTTGTGAATGGTTCACTGGGCGCTGACATGGGAGCACCACTGGGACACACAGACTCCATTTAACCACTGACCGTTACACTCCACTTTAAATATACACAAAGTGTATGGAGGATTTTTCCCACACTCTAAATATTAGTGCTGTCATTATAATTTATGGTAGTGAATGTGTTCAGTTCTGGAAAACTTTCAAGAGTCTGACATGAAAAATGGCCGAAACCCTGTAGGTCGCCGGGTCGTTCTGAACACCAACATCGCAGTGAAAACATGGAGTCTGAAAAGCCCCCGCTGCATGTTAGCTGTCACGTAACATAATTCACTTAGACTTAGCTTTTATCTCCTGATTTCTGCCACTTAAAAGATAGTTTCATTCATCGTGCCGTGTTAATCCTCAAGGTGTTGGCCGAAAGCTGAAGCATGCACTACCACTTATGGCCACTAGGGGATGGATCTATTAGAGATCTAGAGATTTTTCCCACTGGTGAAACAAACTTTCTCAGTTGATTGCACCAGC